GGCCCATCGCTAAAAATCTGCCATTTATCAATTTTATCTAGATGAACGCGTCATTGGGACGGTACTAATGTATATTTTTGGTCGCTATTGAAAATTTAGTCGATAGCTGAATTTATGTATGGGTCCAAATTAGGGGCATTTAGGCCGACATTACATCCAGTTCCCCTATCTCAATTTGTCAGAGCCCAATTTTTTAGATTTTAAATTAAAAAAAAATGCTTATGAATAATTAACACTTTTGAAATGTATAAAACCATGAACTTTTGGTAACTTTTTTGAACTTTTTTGAACTTTTTGCTCCGTCCAAGGAACATTTTTACAGCTAGAAAATTGGTCAATTTTAAAGCAAAATTGGAAAAGTCGGAAAACTATCTTCTCTTTTTCTATACCTAAAACAGAGTGGCATATATAAGGCCCCGAATGTTAAATAAATAAATATTTAGGGTGGAATCGTGAATACTCGAATTTTTTTAAAACAAAAGTTCAATTTTGGGCGGGACGAAGTTCCGAAGAATTATATAAAGGAAATGAATTTAAAATTTCTCATACATTGTTCTCTGAGTATAAATTATAATTTACCAACAGTTCTTGTTCTACGATTTGTGTCAATTTTTAAGTATCCATGATTTTTAACATTTCAAAAGTTTGCATTTTTCATGAGCTTTAAAAAAACAGTAGCCGAGCTGGCGTGAAATTCGTCAATTACTGCTAAATTGTGGCATACATGGAGTAGCAACCACGGGCAGTCAATAATACTCATGTTCATGTTCAATTCTACGAATTTGGTTATATATATGGTCAACATGAGTCAACTTTAAATATACAAAGATATATGTTTCAAAATTTAAATCAATTATTAGGAGAAAAGATTGGCGTGTACTGCAAAAGCCGTTGGGAACGACGGGGTAAGACGGCCACCCTAAACTTGAAGTAATTTGTTTTGTTAAATTGTTTTTAAATGTCTTCGTTAAATTTACTAATCGAGTACTTTCCCTAATTACATTGATATTCAGAAAATTTCCTTTTCATTTGACGATGTTTTATCACGAATCAAAAACAGACTAAATAATAAAAGAAAAAAAAAATCATGCAGGATAAGATTGGCCACCCATAGGGGTAAGACGGCCACATGGAATATATCATGATCCTGGTCTTATAAAAGGTTACTGTTTTCGGCGAAATTGTACAGTAGTTCAAGGCGGATAGAGAACCATAGTACATAATTTTCTCATTACCCGAGCAGGAAAAAATAACTTATTAATAACAAATTCAGGTATGAAAATAACATAACTGGCAACCTAAATATGGTATTAGTGAGGCTGACATAAGAGGCAAAATACTTTAGTTATTACAATAACGAAATAATTTAGTTATTACAATAACAGACGGATAACAGAAACTTTTAAGATACCAGAATACCATAGTTTGTTATTTTGAAGGTCTTTTAATACCAATTCAATAACTTTTTAAGGTGTTATTGTCTAAAAACTGATAGATCACAATTTGTTATTTTGGTATTGATTTGATATTTTACAAAATATTTCGATAACTGAATAATATCAAAATAAGCTTTTATACCAAAAGCATACAGAAATCTGGTATCTGGTTTTTTATCGATTGGCTATCGGTGCCTGCTCGGGTATGTGGCGCGAATGTGCAAGTCAATGTCCTGTATAAATTATATCTTGAGATATTTACTATTTAGAATGTTTCCGTCTTCGGGAAACTTGTTCAGGTGAAAAAATCTTCAAATTTGTGGGTTAGTTAGTTCATAATTCTTTTACTACGTGACACTAGTCTACGTGTGGACTTCACGTAGATGTCCTGACTTCTTAGATGGTGAGGATTTCATGATATAGCTTATAGATACAGCTAGTTCACATGTACACTACCGACGCGTAGTGAGGGAATTCCTTGATCATCTTACTTATAATGCTGGTAACAGAAGCTTCTTAGAAGTCCTGGCCCTGGTTTTATAAATTGACTACTTTTACTGTTATTCCGGATGTTCTGGCAGATCCTTCGGGGCCATCATATCACGAATTCATACTGGTGACAGATCTACAAATGTTTTCGAAAAAAGTCTGATATATTTCAGAAACGAAATATTGCTTTCCCGATTTTGTCAGCTTCCGATTTTGTTTACCCCCGATTTTTTCAGCCTGAAGATTTTGCTGAACTTTTTTGGTTTTTAAGCATGAATTCTCAAGCATTTCCCTCCAAGCGACACTTAATTGTTTTTTCGCAACAATAACAGAGGTAACTCCAACAAACCTCAATTATTGCAATACTGCACAACTAAATCGAGTTCCTCCCGATAAAGGTAGAGATAAAGCAGAGCAAGTCAAATTGTCAACTGGAGCTGGGTCGAGACGCTGCTGCCAACGTCACACACCGTGTCGTGATGACGAATATCAGAAGTCAAGTCATGCCCGCTGTAATGTGCTTAGAGAACCTGAAAGTCATCGTGGAAGAGCTTTTCTCGAAGCACGATCCAACGAACTGGCCACCTACATCGTACGGAGACGAAGAGGGAGATAACCTGCTGCCTGCTGGATACACTCGGAAAACTCTTGGAGAGGATCATCCTAAACAGGCTGACGGAATGCACGGAGTGTGAGCAAGGATTGTCGGAGAGGCAGTTCGGATTTCGAAAAGGAAGAGCAAAATTGGATGCAATTCTGACAGTTGTCGAGAGAGCCGAGAAGGCGCTGAAACAGAAGTGGAGAGGAGATCGATATTACGTTGTAATAACGATCTACGTCAAGAATGCGTTCAACAGCTCCAGCTGGGAAGCCGACGCCGGGTTCTGATCTACGAGCCAAATATGGGACAGAGATCGACTAGGATCACGGTGGGAATTCCACAAGGCTCCTTCCTTGGTCCAACGCTCTAAAACGGCAGTCTAACGCTGAAGCTACCCAAACGAGTTGAGATCGTTGGCTTTGCGGACGATGTTGTCTTATGGTAACAGGCAAGACGCTGGAATAGATGGAAATGTTGGCGACCGAGGCGGTCGACATGATTGGAAACCTAATGCATGGAGCGAAGCGCTGCAGCGGGCAGAAATACCCATTGGGGAGCACGCAATAAACTAGAAGTGCGTGTTGAAATGCCTGGGAGTGATGGTCGACGACCGTTTGGCTTCAATAGATACGTAGAATACGCATACAAGAAGGCAGCGAAGGCCATCAACACGGTAGCCAGAATCATACCGAACATCTCGGGACGGCTCCTGGCTAGTGTATTTACGTTGACACTGAGATACGGAGGTTCAACCTTGGTTGCAGCGCTGAAAACCAAGCGGAATTTAAGGATACCGAACAGTACGTACCGGCTCAACAAACCGTACGCAAACTTTTCTAGACATTTGGTGCACCATTTGTTGTAAGAAAAGTAAACATTTATCATGGTTAATCTTGATTTCAAAATCATTTTCATGGTTAAAATATTGAAAAAGAAAATTTCCCGATTTTGTCAGCCTAAAATTTCAGATGTGGCTGACAAAAACGGGAAAGTACTGTATTTACGCATTCCAGTTTCAACCAACCAAAGGTGGCCGTCTTACCCTGACACATGTCAAACTATAACAGCTTCTGTAATATATTATAATTTAATTAAAACTGTATATTTTCACTATAAGTACATCGAACAGACATGTGTTTTCCTTATAGTAACGTTACTTTAACATGATAAATTGTATGATAGCTTTAAAGCAATAAATTTATGCGTTTCACTTGTTATCAAGCTAGAATGTGTTTTACAATACAAACTATACAATAGCAAAGACCTCTGCATAATTTTTCTTCTTCAAGAGTTGATTTATTCCATAATCTAAAGGGTGGCTGTCTTACCTCGTCGTCCCCTACCAAGTATACAAATAACAGTCCTTCCTGCGAGTAGATTATGTGCGATGCTTTTGGATGCTGGGTTGCACGACATTTTAAGCATAGCTCCTGTGGAGTTCAGGTAAAAGTGTTTGAAAAATGTATGGATCCATATCCCAGTGGGTGTTCTCTTTTATTACTATGTTTGTTTTTTCGCCTCTGTAAACGATTCAATAGACTAATCAAATTTTAAATCTCATTACCTTTCTATTAATGTTCCCTTTAATATCGATAACGATGGAAGGTTGAATGCATAGCATGAGTTTGTTTGCTTCAAATCTCCATTTAGCTTCCCATATAAACTGAATGAGCACATTTTAAGCGGATGATCAGGTACAGATTTGGAATCAATTTAGTTACCCTAATGGAGGCAGAAAACTGTCACTTTCTACGGTATACGTATGGAATGATCAATTTCAAAGCTTTTAAAACTTTGAATGAATTTGCTTAACCAACTCCATTCCGACCTGAAGGTTGTCTCAATTTCGAATTCACCACCAACCATTGCGTGATGTCAGCATGACAAATTTATGCTTCTACTCAGAACCAACTGTCGTCACGCATACCGACTACGTCAATGTCCCCTTTTGATATTCGTCACATATTTACAGACCCCCTCTACCCCCAAGGGACTGCTGCCCCCAACCACTGGAATAAACATTCTAATCACACAAAACTACGTCGTACCCCAAAACTTGGCCAAGTTCGTTCGGTGCCGCCGGATCAAAACCAAAAAGCCCTCTCGGAGGAGGACAACCACTGTAGGGTTCATAAAACAACCGAACCAAACGTGATTCCCTCTTTTCTGGTATCTGTGAAGCTTTTTATGTCGATGCTAAGAGAAAAAAAAAACCTTGGAAAGTAATCGTAATAACAATAAAAGCAAATACAAAACGTGAGATTATACCCGTTTTCCGTCTATGGTCATTACGCATACACACATGCCATACACGTTCTATTCTAAACTGAGTGAAAGATGTGCCCTCTCATCGTCCCATCATCAACGAAACCACCGGAGTACCTATTGCTGGAGTGTGTTGTTGTGGTTTTCTTCGGCTCTACACGTTTTCTAATTTAGATTTTTTTTTTCTGGTTCTCTTTGCTTCATTCTAGATATTCAGTAAGCCACTCGCATCGCCAAGAGATCTACCACTAACAACTGAAGAAAACAACAAATCGAGAAGAGCTGAGCTGCAAGAGGAGACAGAAGTGCGTGATTCTTTTAACCATCAGGATTCTAAAGTGCTGCCGTCATTCACACAAGACCAAGAAGAAGAACCCGCTCGGTAGATGATATCTAGTGCTGCATGAGTGTGATTTCCTAACAATTCTATCAACCAGTTTTTATCTCCCGATGCTCGGATTTGTTGTTGTGTATTGATGTTTCGTTTTACCTTTCTTGCACCCTGTGTTTTGTTTCTCGCGATTGGTGATTTGCGTTTGCGTGCGTCACGAGTGTAGAACCCCCTCGAGAAGGCAAAGAAAATAAAACAAACCTCTCCCCAAATCTACTTAAGGAAATGTGAAAGTGAGCGGAAGCGGTTCAATGATTTCGCATGCCCGCAGGTCGAAGGAATCGATCCAACAACGACGACAGCAACGAGAGCAACAGTTTCCAATGCCGTCGACTGAATGTTGTGTCTAAACGTTCCTTCCATTTGATTTTGTTTTGCTGTAAGCGGTGAAGAAAGTGATTTTTTTTTCTCTCTGGGTTCGAAATCGGATTGAGTGTCCCACCCGCCCCAAAATCAACCCTTTGCTTGTCTCACCGAGAAAGGGTTGACCTCGTGCGCTGTGTGTGTGTTTATTGAGATTTGAAGAAAACGGAAGTTCGTGATGAATCGATCCACAATGGGTAGTAACAACGTGCCGCCCAAGTTTTACAAATTATGCCGCCTTTGCTTGGGCAATGTGGGCGACTGTGAGCTGGGTGAATCGACGATAGTGTTCGCCGGTGCTCAAGAAAAGGCCATCTCACAACGGAAACGCCAACAGAACGGTGGAGCCTTGTCCACAGTTGGCAGTGATGTAGTAGTGATGGACCAGGACTCCGTCACCGGCACCAACAACGATGCCGGTGGTGGTGGTGGTGGTGGTGATGGTGGCGGCGGAGGACGTGCCGGTGCCTTCAATCATCAGCACGCAGCACGTCATGGAACCATCGCCAGTAGTAGTGGAAGCAGTAGTAGCAGCTCGAGCAGTTCAAGCTCCAGCTCCAGTTCGAGCAACAGTAGCAGCAGCAGTGACGACGATGAAGTCACAGCTGACGATGATTACGACAACGATGACGACGATGATAACTTCTTCGACGGAGCGGACGACGGGTCCAACGTGGATCTGGCCAAGCGGATACGGACGTGTCTGACGATCAAGGTAGGTGACGATGCTCTGGGGGGTGGGTTTCTAGTATTATCTCTTAGTGATAGTGCGCCGAGGTGCTGAGGTGCTAATTGACTAGCGGTGCTTTTCTATTGGCGAAGGTAAAAACTACAATCTGTGCATGGTGGACAACGACACTGGTAGATTTCGCACAGCGGTGTTGATGGTTCTTATAAACGAAATCAAATTAACTTAAACTAATTTAAAGAGAGAAGGATTAGTAATTTCCATTTAATTCCACTACCATATTTGCTTATCGTTGACAGATACGCGTAATTCGTCTCAAATGTGCAGGCTGACTTCTTCTGTGTCTTGTACTAATATTCGACTTCGATTTCGACAATCGGGTATTAGTACAAGGCACTGAAGAAGTCTGTACATTGTAGCTGAAATACGCGTATCTGTCAAGGATAGGCAAATATGGTAATGGAATTAAATGTAAATGACTAATCCTTCTCTGTTTCTTTATAGGGGAAATGTCGGCTTCGGCAATACCTTATTCTATTATCGTCAGGGGGTAAACAACGTCCTTGAGAGCTCAATTTTGGCATGTGGATACATCGTGTTTCAGAGCATCTATGGGCCAATTTTGAGTGCTTTAGGTCTTTGTTTACCCCCTGACGATAAAAGTTTAAGGTATTGCCGAAGCCGACATTTCCCCTAATTAAAAAAAAATATACCTATCGAATCTGATGCTTGGTGCCAAGCTAAACTTACCATTCTCCGTTATAACCATTTATTGTAGATGAACTAGCCGATAAATGGCAAACAATCACCCTAATAAAGCATAAACAAAAAAGTTATAATCATTCTCAGTAATAATAAATTTGGGGACATCATAAGGGAAATTTTTCGGGGATAAAAATTCATTTTGAATTGTTTCTAATAGTAGTTGCATCCTGGGGAATCGATCTACAAATATTTCAAGCTTATATCCCTACAATTGTCATGCTTTAATTGAATTTAATTTCTCATAAATTGTCCAGTAATTCTGAAATTAGCGAAGAATTCTTATGCTCTCAGTTATTTGCCTGTATTTTCTTTAGGTTCTCACCTAAAAAACCTCTAGATAATCTTTTGAAACGTATTTCTAAAGCAATCGCTTCGATATTAGATAAAGATTCTAGAAATACTAACCGTCAAATTAAGAGGTCTTAAGAATTACTTACAAAAGGCTTATGTGTGCGCTCTAGAGGTGTTATGACTCAATCACTGAAGTATCTTGCGAACCGGGGGGCATGGTCATTGACCGAACGCCCTTAGATCAAGATATCGTCTCGGATAAAATGTTGAATTAAAAAAAATCAAGATTCTGAATCCTTGAACAAATATTATTATTGTTCTAATTTTTTTAAATATATATAGGGCCTTGAACAGTAGTCATCATTCTGTGTCTACAATTTTTTCAAGATATTAGACGAGGCTCGATGGCTTAGCGGTTACCGTTTCTGCTTACTGAGCAGAAGAGTGTTCAATCTCGGGCCCTCACATTTGTCACTATGCCTCATTCTATCGCAATAGCAGGGTGGTCATGCAACCCAGGGTAACCGATCTCAACATACGTTGGTATATATTTTGATCGAATTCTGTTAATGTGTAAACCAAATGTATTTTTTTCCTATGCTATTTTTAGGTTTCAGTTTATTTCGTCAGTTATTCTTAATTTTCATTGAACTTGGATTGATTCATAAAAAAACCAAGATGGGTTCACCCATTATATCAGTGCTGGTAGCAGGTCACTATTTATTAAAATTTAGTCATCAAAGTTATTTTTTACGACCAATGTTGAGAGTAAATAATTTGCCTTTAAATATTCACATAAAAGTACAGTTTGATTAGGTAACAAATTGGTATTTTTCAAGATTCATTAAAAATTAGCGTGTCAAGTCTGACAAGAAGAGTTGCGACAGGAACATTAATTGTCCAATTAGTGTCCAACCACTAATATTTTTAATTTTTGTCAACTCCGTGATCTAGTTCATGTCTGTTATCTTCAAAATTTATGCAGATTGTATTTTTTCCCTTGCCTGTGATCTCGAATTTGTCATATCTTTTCACAAATTTACTGAGCTTTCGAAAAAAAAATCTGGCCCCAATATTTTAATTGTCTTGACCTAGGCTTCAAACCAATAGTATCTGTAGAACAAACATTGCTCAGCACAGAAACATTTAACTTTTTTACTATAGAGATTTTAAACTCAAGAGTTCATTCGCCTCTAAGAAATATTTGATGATGTTTTCAAATATATCCTAACCCTTGATCCCAATATCCTAGCTTTTTTCCTCCGTGATCTGGGAAGTTGTCCAAGCCTAAGATGTCGAATAATGGCATAGGAAAATTTTCAAACTCAAAATCTTTGAAGTCCAATTGCTTTAAAATTGGTTCAAATATATAAAAAAAAAATCATGGCGCAGATTCTTGAGTTCTTTTCTAAGTCCATTAAATTGTTGTTTATTTTTTTCCAAACTTGTAATCCGGAATCAAAAAAATTCCATGCCGAGATGCCTCAGAATGTTTGCAGAGCACCTTTTTACATGCAGTACTCGGCAAAAAAGAGTGGTTCTCCCATTTTCTTCGCACTCTTTTCCAACTTATCTTTGAGGAAGCAATCCACACAAAGAGTGGTGGTAAAATTAAAGCAGGGATCAAATAAAATACGGTGGCTACACTTTGCGTTTTCGTTATACCTGGGTTTTTTCTTTTCTTCTCTCTCCGCTGCTTTACAATTACAAATGGAGAAAGGCTAGCAAATTTTGAGTTTGACTGTATTAACCTTTGCGGATTTCAGAAAATAAGCGCTCTGCGCGCATTGAGTGATCAGATCCCAAGTAAATTTGGGTTTATAGGGGTTCTGTAGACCTTGATTTAAATTTAATTAATGCTTTAAAACTTGGATAAAACTTGCAATAATCTTTGGGAAGAGAGCCCATAGTGGTTCGCAATCATCGAAAAATTCAAAGTTCCCCAACTTTCAATGAAGGCTTCCAAATGTGTATCAAGATTTCTTCCAATTTCCAAAGGATTATCAACTTTTTCAAGAAACCTAAACTACTCTGTGGTTCATTTGACCAATATCTAAACTTAAGCTTCCCTGAGGTTCCCTTAAACGTCTCGGAAGACTCTTGTGAAAGTTCCTAAACATCTCCAAAGTTCTCCCAATCATCTTTGAGGTGATCATTGAGCGTCTTTTAATAAGCTACAGTAATGTTCCTGTGCTTCTTTTCTTTGGATTTCGCTGAATATCTCTGACATCCACTAATCTTGATTGAAATTCAGCATTTTTCTCGAGGTCAGTCTGAACTTCTCAGAGAATTTCTGAGAGAACCAGGCAGCTTATTAAAACATGTAAAGCTTGGAAAGCTTTTGAGAGTTTCGATGAACTACAGATAGGTTCAGCGAATTTAGAAGATCTTAAAAGTGCCTAAGAGAGGATCTGCGAACTTCAGAGAGATTCAGAGAGCTTTAGAGATCTCCAATAGGGTGGGCCATGTTTGTATGGTCGATCATAACTGTTCTTCCGATGTTTATTGAGACCCCCAACAACTGCGTCAAATTTGAACTAATTTAGTTATGCTCTGGATATGCGGGATAATTTTAATTTTTTTTATGGGAAAATGTATGTAAAATGAAACGAACCTATTTGCTTGTCAAAAATTCAAATATCGCTAAAATTTTACCAAATCTCGGAAATGGATTTGAAGTAAAATCCTGTTAATCTGCTGTTCTACTATCGGCCGCTCGAAATCATCCGCATTTTGTAGAGCGTATATTTCATGATAAGAAAATTCTGACATAACAAGATTGCGCAGTCGTAAAAATTTAATCAGCTCAGACTAAGGAATCGGTAGAATACATTCAGTGAAGCGTTTTGATAGGAAAATTCAGTGAAATTGAAGTTATACAATTTTGGTTGCCGAAAACAGTCAACCACAATTCTTTTTAAATTCTCATTAGAATTCTCTTAAAATCCTCCTTAAAATTCACCCGCTATTCATTCTTCTCACGATTCCCATAAAATCACTTTTGAAACACCTAGGAATTCAATTAAAATATTCTGTGGAACTGATTTCTTGTAACGTCCCGTTAGAACTTGTACACACTTTGTTTTTTTCTACCGAGCTCGGAATAATAATCTATATAATCGGTGAAATCTCCTCTTTGAAACCCTTTCGGAAATATCTTTAAATTCTTTCAAAATCCTGAATAAATTCTCCAAAAAATTTAATTAAAACTCAGTGGCGTCCCGTAACCTCACTTTTTACCTGTGTACCAACTTTCAAAACCAGATGTAATGCCATATTCATACTCGAATCGGTTGAAAAATACACTTAATCTTCTAGTTTACTCGATATCTATCCATTGCTAGCAATATTTTGATAATTGTTTATGTTTTGAGAGTTGGTGCACAGGTAGATTGAGGTTAAGAAAACGCCACTGTTAAAACTATCTTCAGCTTGAAATTCGGCAACGTTTTTTTTTTCAGTTATATTCAGCATTAGATTCTCTTGGAATTAAATATTATCGATATCCCCTGGGAATTCTCTTTAGATTTTTTTTTCTTTTATTAACTGAATGATTGATTAACATTTAAGACATTTTCTAGGCCCTGATCATGTGATCATTAGGAGTAGTGTCAGAATATTTTCCATACCATAATTAAGTTTGTTGTAGGGTTAATTTAGTTTGAATTCTCCTCTCGAATTCCTTTAGAATGCTCCTTGAAAATCCCTCAGAGTTGCTTCAGAATTCTCTGGCATTTTGCTCATAATCTTAAAAAAAAGTCTTTTCTGAACTACCTTTGGATTCACCCATAGTTCTCCTATAATGCTTCTCAAAATTACCTGCAATTATTCCTAGAGACTCTCTAGTACAGAGAGAAAATGGTAGAGGACCAAAATTCTCCCCAAAACTCATTTGGGATTCCGATCAAAATTCTCTAGACATTTCTTCAAAAGTTAAGTGTTACGTGTTAAAATTCTTAAGTTTTATTTTA